GGTCTTGTGCTGTTCGAAGAGATCTATCAAGGCGTCGCAGTACTGACGATGAAGGCGATCCACTTCTTCATCAGTCGGTTCAAGAATCTTCGGAACGTCTATTGGAGCACCAATGACTGTGTTGATCGGCCTTCGATAAGGCAAAAAGCCGAAGTTCAGCTGGAATCGGGCGTCGTACGATTGTGCCACTTATATTTTGGGGAACGGATGTTACAGATATGAGGACAACTTCATCTTCTGAGGGGAGCTACAACTTCATCTTTGAAGCCGTCACTTTCGGAATCAATTACTTGTGGCGAAAACGAATCCACCTCAACTATGTCCCTAAGGACAAATTTTACACTCACCTACGAGTACAGTTCTCGCCTAGCACGAGGCGAATAGTTAACAGTAGCAAGCCTACTTTTCAACAGCTCATGGGAGCAGGGCCAGAAAACAGAATCTCCCGAGTTTCTACACTCCACAGGCGCTCTACTCAAGGTGCAGCATCGATACCAAGGTCACGCAACGGAGCACGCACTCAGGGGTCGAGAACAATCAGAAGTTTGAGAGCGAGAAAATAGTGGTATGCCGATTGGTATAGGCGCTCACTGGGGTCTGCGGGCAGTGCGCGGGGCGACAATCAAGATTGTCACCACGTTTCAAGCTTTTTTGACCAGAGAAAGTGGCACGGTGATGAAGCCGTGAACCCACGGTCTCCAACATAGCAAGATATAGGATCGAGCGAGGTGATTGCAGTGTACAGATTGTCTTGGAGAGAGCGGAACATTTTTACCATATAGGATTTCTCGGTATTCCTTCGAATATTTCGAATAGTTGTTGTGTCTCACCTGGAACAAGCCTCTCCCGTAGAAGAAAGGCACTGAAATTCCGATCAGGTTCTTGAACCCAAGTTCTGAAATCTTGAAAACCATTGGAAACCCTCTGCGGTTGTCGAGCTAATATCAATATTACTCGACGACAAAGGTATTTATTTGAGACTTAGTTTCTTCAGATGGACCTCGTTTGCGCTTTCACCTGCCTCACTTCTGTCTGACCTGCTGGTAGATGTCAGTCTCTCCAAACGAATACACAGGTACTAGCGAAGCACCACATCGAAGTGCTTGCTTTACGAAACCTTTTCGAGTTAGAGGCTTGGTTGTGCGACTCCAGCGTCGGCATAAAGGGCTTCCTTTTCAGCTCCTCCTAGATATTTGGGCATTCGTAGGGGTACAGATAGTTCATAATTGATATATTTTATATAATTTCCTCTCCGTTTTCCCACACAACTGTGATTGGTTCAGTATCGCTAACATTTAGAAAATAACTTCTCCTACCTACCTACTGCAACGACCACAGCTTGTCCAGCTTTCTTCATCGTGAGAGCATTTTGAATGCTTTCCTTCGAACAGTCTATAAATCCGGAGAGCAATAGCCATTCCCTCCTGAAAATACCATCTGAAATCATGTTGTTTTCACTATTGGGCGTAAACCGACTCACCTGAGCATAAGATTGAAGTTTAATCCGAGTATACAGGCGAAAAACCTGATTCCAGGAAACTGAACAAAATTACGCTATAATTCTGTCGTTTGGACGAATAGTTCCAACACATCCTTCGCAGTGTAGGAACCGGAGAACGAATTAATCAACTGATGAGGCTATTAGTTGAAATCAGGGGACGTACGTCGGGGAATCCCTGGCGGAGAGGGGGTCATCTCTCGCTTCAAGAAAATTCTTCCTTGCGCGGGATTTTTTGGTTTATGTAGTGCCGGATTTTTTCAGTAGTTTGGTGGCGACATCCCCTTTCCCTCTCCCGACCCAAAAGTTAGTTCTTGGTAAAATCTGGTGGTGTGCTGCAAAAATCTTCCCTTACTAGGAGATGTGCTCTGGTTGAGATAGCCAACATATGTGCCTTCCTCCTAGAATGGTAGTGGGAAGGGATGAGCCAAAGAAGAACACACAGCAGATGACTGTCACCAATATCCAATCCTGGATTGTCCCTCTAACGTGCAGTGCTTGGCGTTCAAAGTCCTTTTTGGAGAGCGAAAACCCAGATTCTGAAGAAAAATTGGTCACCTTTTCGCTCCTCCCACTTGCATCAGCGACGAAAGCTGCATAGAGCCCGTAGCAGATAATTCCGTGTGGATGAGCTGCTATGAGGTAGTTCTAAAAATTTCGAAATGAGCTTGGTGGTATAAAAAAGGCGACTCCACTTGTAACTAGTGGAGCACGATCTACAGCCTAAATACCATCCTACTATATATAATCTAAGTATGTATCTAATCTTGTAAGTGATGTAATCTCTGTGTAATGTGTCTAGTAAGTATCTAATCTATGTATGTCTGTAAGTGTGTGTGTGTGTGTGTTTGTGTGTGCGTCTGTCTGTCTGTCACGAAATTCATAGCGAGCGTCGCAGAAAAGATAGGACGACAGTTCCAAGAAGTGATATACATGGCAGGACGGGAACACTTTTGGTGGGTGATAGAATGTGATAGCACCTGATAAGATTCGATAAGGGGCCTTAGAAGGGGAGGGTGACCGAGCCCATAGTGCGGGACACAGTAACAGTGGGACATTGGTTCCAAGGTATGATATAGGACGTGAGACAGGAACATTATTGATGGGTGACAGGGAATGATAGCAGCTGATAGGATTTGATAAGGGGAGTTAGAATGGTAAGGTCACCATACTCATAACGCGGAACACAGCATCAGCTAGGCATTAATTTCAGAAAATGATATAGAGTTGGAGATGGGGACACGGCACGTGAGGTGATAACAGCTGATAGGGGCTGATAAGGAACGTTGCAAAATGCTGTTCAGTCAAATTGCTGGAGCCTTTACACTACCAAATTATAAAGTTTTAGTGATAGGGAGATGACGGGTGACAGGATCTTATCAATTGATAGAAAGGATAAGGGGCCATTATCATTACCTCTCTTATCACTATACCCCAAGTATCAAAGGCTCAGTGTGCATACTTTTCCTTTAGCCATCACTTCCCTGACTGCCCTAGAAAATGAACTCATCCCACTATATAATGCCGATGTCGACGAGCGGGGGAGGGAGGGGGTATGTAGTTCGGTAGTTTGCCTGAATCAGGAATCTCAGAGAAATTCGAGGAGAACGGAAAAACACGAGGCGGAAGGCTGCTAATTAAAAAGGAAAGCGTTCGTCGGTAGGCATTCCGGTGCAGCTAATGGAAACGAGACCTGCTGTTTCACTGAGCCATTCATATTGCGCTGTATTGGCCGACTACACATTCTATCTATCTACAGATTTATGTATTCTATGGGCGTCATGGCGCGGACTACACCACTGCTGCGAATAGCAGCCTGTGTGCGGTGTGGTGGGTGCTCATTGGTGCACGATCCCAAGCCTTGCTCTATCTACGATTCGATCACTACATCGCCGTATGAGCAGCCCACTATTGAAAACGTTCCGTTAAAATTATGGAGCGAGCCTGGCGAAGCCAGGCCAGCTCGGCGAAGCCGGGCTAAAGAGGAGGAGGAGGAGCATCGGCATTAGCGGCGGGCGATCGCACTGTGCTTAACCATAATGACAACAAAGAAAAACTTCGTCTATCACGTTGGTAGGTTCGGCTGTTTTATGCAGAGAGCGCAGAAAAAAAAAAAAAAAAAAAAAACTAATTGGTTATACCACTCATTTCCATCTTACCTGAAGAAATGCCCCTGAACCCGATGAGTTTTTTGAAACGGAAGTTAGATAGCTACATGCACACCGCAAGCTCGACAAACCTCTTGCCGATCACGGATTCTTTGTAACCACCATTTTTGCGGGATTTTCGCCTCGGTATAAGATTAACAGGGTATGGTACAGTAGATAGTAAGAGGCCAGTAAGTGAACCACTGCAAAATGATCGTATTACTATGCGGTAGTTCCTAATATGGAAAAGTGAGACTTAACAGGCTCCCATACCGTAGTCAAACCCCAAATTGTTGGCTTACGACCTCAAAGTGGAAGCGCAGCCATTCGTTTCGTGTGTGAAAGGTGTACTTAGCCCTAGCCGGCCGTGGCGCCAAGGTATTCAACAGCTACTTTCTTTTCTACTTTCTACTTTCTCGAAGTAATTAGTTGGTGATGACCTTCCCTTTCCTGGTCGACAGCAGTTTTTTTTTTCGCTGGGTTGGAGGGGCGGAACCGAAAACCTCTCGGAACGCTGAGGAAATCGCGTCAATTCGGGGCGATTTGTGCGGGGTGAGAAGGGTGATCGTTCGTACCAAAAGGAAAAATTCGGGAGGGGTATAGTTGTACATCCGATTTCTCTCATCCTCTTCAGGGCACATCATTGGTCGGGGATTTCCAAGTCTGTACGACCCCCCCCCCCTTCTTGGGGTGGGGGGAAGTTGGGGGTTGGTACGACACCTCTGTCGCTCCTCATTGAATCACGTCGAGCGCGAGGGGGGAGGAGGGGGTGTATAGCACATGTGAAACAGGGAAACAGGAAAAGCCGCGAGACAATACTACCCTCCCTTTTACCAATTTTCAAATTCTCCCCAACTTCCTGCCACTTTTTCCGAACCTAAATTTCCTGAAAAGTTCCTTACTCTTTCCCAAAACTACGCATGAAACAGGCAACTCACAAAAAGTCAACCACCACTCCCACCACTCTTGGAATACCAAAAAGTAAATACGACCCTCCCCCTCCCAACAATGACCAAGTACGACCCCCCCCCCTTTTTACAACGTCCGTGAAGCGAGAAAAATCAACTATCAAAATAAATTTTTCCCAGCCCAAATACGACCCCCCTCTCCTGGCGGCCAAATACGACCCCCTCCCCTATAGGGGATTCCCCAACAGCGATGTTCTCTAATCCCCATGCTGTACCATGATTGGTAGAGCGATTAAAAATGAGTATACAGGAGTTAAGTTAAAGGACGAAGAGAAGCCAAGAAAAATTGCCTGCCGAATGGAGGCGTGACCGCGAAATGCCAGAGATTTACTCACGCAAGGAGAGCATGAGAGATACCCTATCTTATTATCTTATTCCCTGGTTCCGAAAGTGTGGTAATACAATGCAAGGCTGACCCCCTCTTGAAGTTTCCCAGTATCAAATTTCTACAAATTTCTATCAAAACAGAAAAATTGAGGATGTACCAGAATGAATGGCAGGAATAAAGAAAATACTGCCGAGTGGAAACTCATTAGAAACAACACGACGACGCCCAGTGTGTTGATTTGGTCCTCCCATGATTCTGTGAGCGGTGAGAAGTCGATGCCAAGTAGATGCGTCATCCTGAACATCAGCTTTTCGGTGGGTGTCGCCAATCCGATGGCACCAACTTTGTGGGCGGAGGCAGGCCTACTTTTGTGCCTAACGTCGCTTGACCCTTGTTTTCTGATATTGTAAATAAGAGAGCCATCCTTAATTATGAAGGTACAATGACAGGCCTGTCTCCATGCACAGGCTGTACCATAAATGTAGTGAGCACGATAAACCGATTCCCGTAAGTGGGAATAGAGATGTTTAATATTGCGAAGGCGAGGAAACTTGGAAGGGAAACACAAGAAATAGACAAATAGGATGCAGAATACCAAGAACAGAACATAGAAGAAAGGCCTGCAAATGACTGGAATTCCCAAATGAAACATCCAAGGGAAAATACATTTTACTCTAAGAGCTTCCTTTCAAGTAAAACCTTAACCGCCTCTAGATAGCCACTATTAGAGTTATCAATGTGTGTACATTTGTTGAAAAAACAAAACTTTACAGCCACATTGTTGTGAAGATTTCCACTTTCTCTGTTATGATTCCTTGGTTGCGCAAATATCACGAACTTGCTGAGAGCAGAGGCCTGTTGTCAGTCAACGTCACTTGAAAAACAGAACGATCAAACTTCAAACCAAAGAAGAAGCAATAATCAACAGATCACAAGTCAAGGAAAATACAAGGCACAGATGGCCTAGTGTTGCTCATTATCGCACTCGGCCAATGAAAGAGTCGGGGCCCATCTGACTCAACCAAAACAACAGGAAAGCGCAACGTTCACAAGTTGGGCTTTATTTCAATCTCTTTAACTCGAACCCGCTATATTGCCTAAAATATTTACGCACCCAATAAGAGCAGTTCCAGGGGGCTGGGAGACCTCATTTAAAAAAGATGTGCCAGTCACTATAACCTCAGCGACGAATAAATAAACAAGTAAATAAATAAACCTAGGAATAAAAAGTAGGGCAAGTTGGCGGAAGAATCTTGACATGTGTAATAGCCACTTCTTTTATGAACCCGTCATATCGATTATCGTAAAGTGACGGGGGTCTGACCCAATGTTCATCCTCGTGACAACATCATCAAATTCATTAGCTGGAGTCTACCCAACTAAGCCAAGCAAAACATCTGGACCAAATGTCCTAGACACCTTCTGATAACCCTTTGCATGCAGTGTAATCAGAACTAATCGGGAACGACGTCGTTGGTACAGGTTTTACTAGTTCTTGTTTTGGGTCATAGTATGACTAGGACTTGTCAACAAGACAACACTGATAC